CAATTTAAGTTTTTAAACTGTGTAATGTTTACATAAGATTACTTTTGATTAGAGAATTTTTACCTTTTGGTATTACTTTTAGTGACTTTGAATCCTATATACATGCATATACATGTATATACATGTATAAAGAATGATAACGTTGTATATTTTTATTGTTTGTTTTTTTACGTAAATAGCAATAAACTATATTGCAACTAGTATACATGGAAAATTAAGGTCTTAGGTATATGCAATTTGAAACAACGTTATAATAATATCGTATTTCAATGTACTTCGCGTTCTTTGATTTAGAAAAGCGATGTCCTAGTGGCTAAGGAATTTGCTTCTCAGTCCGGGGATTATACATGTATGAGAGACCCCCTCACCAGAACAGGTTAGTCCCAGGACGGTCCAAATATCTTCCAATCTATAATTGCTATCGAACTTAAAATAAGTATGCTTTAACTAAAATAAGGTAAACATTCGCGTTCTTTAATTTATTGCGTTTATTATTTTATCAAAATACAGCCAGTATTATATTAGGAAAATAATATCAACCTTGATGGGATTGGTAGAAATGTGCAAAGTGTTTGTTCAAATGCGAAGTTATGTTGTTTGTAGCGTTGTAGTGCAATAATGCACGGTTGCGCAGTAATATAAATCACAAAAGTCAGAGTGAATTATTACAAAGCATTTCAACGATCAATCACACATTGTTGTACAGCAACACAAAGAAAATTGGTATGTAGTTCCATTCTCACTTAACTGAAACCGTGCATGTTTTTTTTATAATAATGAACTCAAAATTGATATTTAAATATTGAACAAACACAAATTAAACTTATAGATTTAAAAAATGATTTGTTTAAATAGATTGATAATGATATGCCGCATATTTATTATATGAGCCGCGTTACGACAAAACCAACATAATGGGTTTGCGACCAGCATGGACCAGCATCCGCGCAGTCTGATCAGGATCATGCATGCTGTTCGCTATCAGTTTCTCTACTTGTTATAAGGTTTGTGAGCAACAGCATGGATCCTGATCAGACTGCCCGGATGCGCAGGCTGGTCTGGATCCATGCTGGTCGCAAACGTATTATGTTGGTTTTGTCATGACGCGGCTCATATAAACACATATAAATCCAAACAATTAACTTGGGACAAAACTGTTTCAGTCATGTATAAGTAATTTATTATGCAACTGACACAGTTTAAATGATTTCAGTCCACCGCTATTATATAACTTTGCTTCCTTCACTCTTTCTGAGAGTGAGTATCCGTAAACCTTAAAATTCATGTCTGTTTATTCACTCATTAGTTTTTGACAACGTTGAGATTAGTGTTAATAGCGTTGTATTAGTTCGTAGAGTACTCGGAAACATTACAAAGTCTACCATAGTTCCATTCATTTATTATGGAAAATTGTTTTGATTTTTGTTTATGAAGGGTGGGTTCTCTTTGTTTTTTATTCGTTTGTTTTTTGTCTTTTTCTTTTTTCTTTTTTGAAAAAAAAATCTTTGCAAAAGGTTCAGTATTTGTTTATGGGCATCGGAATTTGACAAATAAAAATCTATAAAATATGCCTAGATAAGTCACATAAGAAAATGCAGATGTTTTGAAATATGTAAATGAATTTGACGTTAATTTGTCAGTCATTTATACATTTATACGTATTTTAATACCGTTTTTATACAGTGTTCTTCGTAAATTGAATTTAAATCATTAAGATATTTAATTCTTGTCATCTTTATGGTGGCATATTTCTGCCATTAGATAACCATATAACTAACTAGTAAATTAAGAGGTTAACTAGTTACGTAACTAGTTAACCTCTTAATTAACTAGTTAGGTATCAGGTTAACTAGTTACGTAACTAGTTAACCTCTTAATAACCTAGTTATGTATCAGGTTAACTAGTTACGTAACTAGTAAACCTCTTAATTAACTAGTTAGGTATCAGGTTAACTAGTTACGTAACTAGTTAACCTCTTAATTAACTAGTTAGTTATCAGGTCATCTGGTGGCAGAAATATGCCACCATACATCTTAGTGGAGAAAACCTTTTATCATTTTTATTTGTTTGGGTCGTCAGACCAAACAAATAATGGTAGCGAAATTTCAGAGTCTAATGCTGTTAATTGCAAATGCCGAAAGTAGTCCACTTTTTTGAAGCGGTTACTTCCCTTTATATGTACACTAACGCCGAAAAATTCAGGGGAGATCACTGCGTAAAGATGGTCAAAGACAGGCACATTAATTTTCAAGCAAAATAATTCCCGAATGGTCGAAGATTTTTAATATTGTTTTATTGTACTTTCTGATCGAAAATAAGTAAATACGAGCACGTACAAAGCGGACATTCAATCAGTTTCACGACAAACCTAACAACAAGTAGTTCTCAAAACAGCTTAAAACTAGAAAGAAATATTTTTATTTTGTTACAAGTATCCAACAAATTACAACGCATTCAAAGTTCAAAAATAGCGTTGGCTTATAGAATTGTCAATAAATGCACAATCACAAATTACGCGGATGAATATGATTTTATCAATGAAAATACTATTTTTAGCGATGTCGATTACCGAATACTACACAAACCGAGTAGTGGAATATATAGATTCTAGCGATGTCGATTACCGAATACTTCACATAGAAATATGACTGCCGAGTAGTGGAATATATAGATTCTACATGTCGGACTGTTTGGGCGAGAAGATTTTCGCTAAATTATTTACTTCAATTTTAAACAACAGGTGTATCGTGAACAAAATTCCTCGAAATTAATAAGGATTACAAACCCGAAATGCAATGGAAGTTCTAAATTTAGAATGACTTGATTTTATTCAGGCATCGTTCGTATAACTTCTCCGTGGTGCAGGGGTAACGCGCTCGCTTACTGAGTGAGAGGTCTGGAGTTCGAATCCCAGTCGAGGAAACTTTTTTTTAATTATTTTTTAAGTGTCTTTGTTAAGGAAGTAGCCATGATATGCAAGGATAAAGTGTGGCTGTCATAAAAAATGAACATAAATGATTTTTTGATGCAACTCTAGTTATGCAAAATTCCGTATGTATCAAACTCTGGTGTCTTGCAAGATGAATAGTACATAAAATAAACTAATACAGGAAAATACATACATATATACAGCACGATTTAGATTGCAAAGATCAGAAAATACCACAGAGCTTGCAGCCCTTTGATTCTTTATAAACATACATGCTTACAGTAAGCTCCATGATTATTTACATCTGTGTTAAACAACAGTTAAAGTCGTTACAAGTCCTTATTTAGAATAATATGGTTTTCTTCAGGCCGTTCACATATAAATTCACCGTGGCTGAGGGGTTTTCGCGCTCGCTTAGGAAGCGAGAGGTCTGGAGTTCAAATCCCAGTAAAGGCAACTCATTTTTTTCAAATTGTTTAAGTCAATAAACATTGGATTGAATATCAGTGTTGCAATTAGTCTTATAGCCAATTTACTACAATTAAACCGCTTGAAAGCATTGGTGGCACTATACATATAATCTCACAACCTGTACCTTTCTTACATTCTGAGACCCAAACAAATTCAGCGCCTTCTGTGCTTTGATTCAAAGAAAGTCGATACTGACTAAATAGCGAACTGTGCAAAGTATTATCAGAATAACCAGCCCTCAATCGGTTAGAGCGCGATACTTGTAATCTCGATATTGTGGGTTTGATTTCCTGGCTGGCCAACTAAAATTATTAATCAGTCTTTCGGATGAGACTTTAAATCGAGGTCCCGTGTATGAGTGCTTTAAAAGTTGGCACGCTAAAGAACCAGGACCTTCTGGAACCTTCTGGAATTGGGGCATCTTTCTGTATCTGTATCTTGCACTATCCTCCAAAAATCTAAAATGACCAATACTCTTCTGGAGGACTCGCCCATATGGACAACCGGTGGCGAGTATAGATAAACTGAAATTCACACACACAAATGAGCCGTGTCAAGACAAAACCAACATAGTTCGTTTGCGACCAGCATGGATCCAGACCAGCCTGCGCATCCGCGCAGTCTGATCAGGACCCATACAGTTCGCTATCAGTTTCTCTACATGTTATAAGGTTTGTAAGCAACAGCATGGATCCTGATCAGACTGCGCGGATGTGCAGGCTGGTCTTGATCCATGCTGGTCGCAAACCCATTATGTTGGTTTTGTCGTGCCGCGGCTCAAATTATCAGAATGCACTGATGTGCCGATAGATTTTGGTTTGCACTGGTACTATCGCCAGCAGGACTGTCCCTTTCAATATATGACGAACTTTCCATTGTTATTTTGACGAACTACTCATTGTTATTTTGACGTAGTATAAATATTTTTTATTATACACTTATGAATGAAAAATTGAGAAATATTCTCCGTATTTTCACTGATGTATTGCCGGAGTACTTTCTTCTTTATTCAGCCAATACACAAAAATTAAAATTAAAAGGAAGACCTTTCAAATTGGTAAAAGAGAAAAAAACGTACATAAAATAAAAATAAATTCTATAAATATAGGATTTATTTCACCTTATAGTATGATTATTTTCATAAACTTGAATATCCTCCTTTTAAGCATTTTCTTAATAACTGAAAAAAATAATAACAACAAAAACTACGTAACAAATCGGATGAACGTTTCTTATTTTAAAAGTTATTTTAGAAGTTTCACTGCTTATAATTAATATATCTCGATTGTACTTTGTAGTAAAATTTGTTATCCATTTCAAATCAACGTGAATCGCTTCAGTAAAAGTGTATATTGTTAAAAATATTAGACATTGAAAGCACTTTTGCAAACAACACATAATTATTCTAGTGTTGTTATGCAGTGTTTTTTATTTATTGTGCAGTGTTTTGTAATTGTTATGCATTGTTTTGTAATTGTTATGCAGTGTTTGATATTTGTTATGCAGTTTTTTATAATTGTAATGCGGTGTTTTATTATAGTTATACCATGTTTTATTATTGTAATGCAGTGTTTTATTATTGTAATGAAGTGTTTTATTATTGTAATGCAGTGTTTTATAATTGTTATGCAGTGTTTAGTGCTTGTACGCGTATCTGGCACTGAAACTAAGTTCTTCAGGAGTCATCCACGAGTTATCCCGCTTGTTCAGGATTATCGAATTAATTCCCTGTGGGGCTGGATGTTCGGCCGGCATGTGGTCTATGTTGTGGTTTTTCATCTTTATAAAAAAGAGAAAAGAAAGTCAAGCTTATGCAATATAATAATAAAAAAAACGGAAAAGTCAAGTAAAGATAGTCTTCGATCTTTCAAGTCCTTGATTAAATAATTTCTAATGTACATGAAATGTGAAACTTAATCATTACTTTAACTTTAATGGCTTACGGCTATCAATACACCCTTAAATCAAATTGGTAGACAACCGTTCAACGCGTCGACAGCCGTACTAGTATATACATACAGGTATAAAAACATAATTGATCGACGGTAAGAATTTATTCATTTTTAACATACCCCAATTGTGTTCGAGTAAATCAATGTTATGGATTCATAATCAACATCTAAAGGAGCCTGCTAACAAATTTCTGGTCCTGTGCAAGCTTTACTTTACGTAAAATTACCACACTTTCCGATGAGATGCGGCATATTCTAAGTCACAAAAACTTATGTTTCCTCGTGATAATCACTCATTTTAAGCGTCAACATTATGTCATTAAATATTCCAAACCGTACCTTCAAAAATGCTTTTCTTTTAAAGATATAGGGTATTTAAGTTTGAATGTCTTCAAAGTTTGAGTAACGTCATCAACAGTTTACCTCAATTTAATGATAACATCGACATCCACTCATCAGAAAGAATGAACAACGCTGCCACAATTTTATGGCTTTTGTGCTTAAGTTACTAGGAAATAGTAAACTTTTGCAAAATTTGCATGAAAAACACACACTTTGCAAGTTAATTGTTAAAACTGTTTTAAAACAACTCTTCAACGATGGACACATAACCATAATAAGTAGTTTTTCCATCAACACTGCCAACATTGATCATTTACCAAAGCCATTATTATAACAAAGGATTGTAGTCGTTTTGTTCTTATTTGTGTTCTTTCACTTATAGTTTTACTATTTTTACCCTAACATATTTGACTTGATAAATGGGTACAAGATTTGTGATATTTATCACATAGCACCAGTTAACATATGTCTTAATGTGGCGAAGCAGCTTGAACGCATGATTTTATAGATATTGTGCATAGTAACAGTGTCAATTGTATTTTTTATTATCAATTATATTGATATCATAATCAATTTTCGCTCGATGGCGTTATGTTGCTTTCCTTATTTTGTTTTAATATATTTGAATATATAATAAATGCTGCTGAAGAAGGCAGAAAGACAGAAATGTACGGAAATTCAAAATAGCGTTTTTTATTTATGATGTAACAATAAAAAGGGAAATTTGAAACATATTTCAAAATGCGAGGTTGTAGTTGACCTAAAATCAAAATGAGGTTAGGGTTCAAAAGGGGATGACTGTTTCTCTAAAATAGTGTCGGTAAGAGTGAATTAAAAATAAAGTTGATTAGAGTGGACTCCCCTGATAACATTGCTAATGCCGTAAGGATTGAAAAGGGAGATTACTGTTACGCTAAAAATCTAGTCAGTTAGAATGCCCTGCCTTGATATAATTGCAAATGGCATGAGGGTTCAAAGAGAGGTAAATTTGCACTCAGAATCTAAACGGTCAGAGTGGCCTCCCTTGATAACATTACAAATGGGGTAAGAGTTTAAAGGGAGATTACTGTTTCTGTCAAAACAGTGTCGGTACGAGTGACCTCTCTTAATATTTTTGCAAATGTCGTATATGTTCAAAGGGAGGTTACTGTTGCGATCAAAATCGAGTCGGTAAGAGTGACCTCCCCTGATAAGATTGTAAATGGTGAAAGGGTTCAAAGGGAAGTTACTGTTGCGCTCAAAATAAAATGGGTTAGAGTGACTTCCCCTGATAGCATTGCGAATGGGGTAAGGGTTCAAAGAGAGGTTACTATTGCGCTAATTTCGAGTCCGTTAGAGTGACATCCCCTGATAACATTGCAAATGGGATAAGTGTTCAAAGGGAGGTAACTTTTGCGCTCAAAAGTGAGTCGATTAGAGTGGCTTCCCTTAATTACATTACAAAAAGGGTAAGGGTACAAACGGAGGTTACTGTTGCGCTCAAAAGTGAGTCGATTAGAGTGACTTTCCTTGATAACATTGCAAATGGGGTAAGAGTTCAAAGGTAGGTTACTGTTCCGATCAAAACAGAGGCGACTAGGGTGACTTCGCCTGATAATACTGCAAATTTGGTAAGGGTTCAAAGGGAGGTTACTGTTGCTCTCAAAATAGAGTCGGTAACTGTTTGAGACCCAAACACCTGATTTTATTAGAAATTTTCGACCATGCGACCACATACATGCATCGAGGACATATTTTATGGAAAGTGACCGTGCGACCACATGCACGCATCACAGGATTCCCCTTCTCTTACGAGAAAGGGACAAAGAGTTGTCCGCCCTTTTATTAAAGGGCAGACTAAAAAACTGTGCCATTGCCTTATTGCTATTGATAAGGAGGCTAATTTTCACAGCTATGTCTTCAATTGGTTTATATACAACAATATTAATGCAAGTCAAGCGGGTTATCAGTTAACGTCTTTTGTAGAAATTTTGTAGGGATCATATATAATTACTAGGAAAATTTTGACTTCAAAGTTTTTTCTACTTTTTGTTCTATGTATATTACAGAATTATTATAATTTTGCAGAACATGAACGTTTCAAAAACGTTTTATATGCATTAAATATTGGACATATATTTCACACTTTTATTTTCAAATATTAGCCTGGGGGCATTTTTTCAAAAGTACTGTCCGAGGACGATAACTTGCGCCTTTGTTTGCACAAAGATTAATAACAAAGCGAAAATAGGTTCAAAAGTTCAAAATGTTGGATGCAAGCTTAAATGTTATGTTTTATGTATGTTAACCATGATAGACTATAAATAAAGTTTGTGATACTCTCTTACTGTCTTATTGTTAAACGTCGGCTTTACAATAATGTTATACTCTAGCCATATGATAAGTTTCTATATTGTGAACGCCTGCATACAATAATGCGAGAGTGGTTTTGTGAACAGCCATAAGTTTGTTCAATATTGTGAATACAAGCCTTCCTATGATGTATGTTGTTTGGCACAATATTGAAATATTGTAGTTAATGTTGTTGGCTCTAAATTTATACATTCAAGGCCGTGCTTGCAAAAATGATCTTAATATAATTTTACTATGTTCTATAATTCCAATTCTGATATAAGTCTCTCGTTATCATAATTTAAAAAATGTGAACAAACAAGTATTCAAACTTACGATATTGTGAACAGCACCAACTTTGCCGTCGTAATTGTAAACTTCTTCGTCGTCGTCATCTTGTTCATACCCAACTTTAGCTCTCGGCGCGCAACAATATTTCCACCCAAGACAACATAGGATGAAAAATACAGTCAAACTTGTAAACCCGCTCGTAAGACCGACCCTCGCAGGCGTCCACCAACATTTAGCAAACATTTCGCACTGACAAAATAAATACAAATTACATATAATACGTTTTTCATTGTCATGTTATTTATTTCTCCTAAATAAGTTGGATTTATAAGTATCAAATTCAGCACTTTCCGATAATTGAAAACATTCTATTATTTTTCAAAGGAGCACCGGTTCCATAAAGTCTAATGTAAATAAGTTATTTTTCATATACATGAGCCGGTCAATCATCTCTGCAAATTTCTGGCACCGATTACTTTCCCTGCTCAGTACAGAAAAAACTCTTTTGAATATTGTGCTGAATTTACAAAAACAATTTTGTTTTTTGTTTGTTATTTTTTTAATGTTTAAAAAGATGAGGTGTACTTTGTAAAATTTACCGGAAGTATTTGAATAACCACCATTTTTTGTCACATGACAAACCTATCATCACGTGACCGCGATGAAGCCGGTGGGATACGGAATGCCGTTTGGGCCATTGCCTATGAATGTGTTGATCTGAAACGCGATAGTCGATAGTACGATGATGAAAACGCTAAATCACGAAACTACGATGGTGAAAATGCGAAAGCACGATGATGAAAACGCGAAAGTACGATGATGAAAATGCGACAGTACGATACTACGATGATGAAAGCGCGATAAACTATTGTGTTTTCACCATCGTACTGTCGCGTTTTCACCATCGTAGTTTCGTGTGATTTTGCGTTCTATCGTACTATCGACTATCGCGTTTTAGATCAACACATTTATAGGCGATTGCCCTAACGGCATTCCGTAGTGGGAAGGTTTGGCGTCACTTCTCAAATTTTTTAACCTTATGCTCAAGTGAATGTAACTAAAGTTAAGGTCGATATAATTTTGTTATTTCCTCTTAAGAATTATAGGAAAATGTGTACTTTATAATTACGTATGAAAATGGTGAATTTTGTCCGTGTGTTTACGATTCTTGCGACAATAGACTACAGTTGTGGAAGAGCACCTACCCCTACCCCCCCCCCCCCCCCCTTCTTCTTGGTCATATACATTATAATACATTGAAATAAAATTTCAATTTATGGTCAATAAAGCGTAAGCAAGTATTTTTCAGAACTTTACCTCTGTTTTTTTCTTGTCACCTTTGCCACACCCTGAGCGTCCTGAAACGATGAATCACAATAAATATTACCAGGGATAACATAAGAAATAGACAAAATCATATGAGCCGCATCACGACAAAACCAACATAATTGGTTTGCGACCAGCATGAATCCAGAACAGCCTGCGCATCCGTACAGTCTGATCAGGATCCATGGTTTCTCTACTTGTAATAGGGTTTGTAAGCGAACAGCATGGATCCTGATCAGACTGCGCGGATGCGCAGGCTGGTCTGTATCCATGCTGGTCGCAAACCCATTATGTTGGTTTTGTCATGACGCGGCTCATATAATAATGTCAAATAGAATACCTTTTTAAATATTTAAATAGGATTGTGTGGCCCTACAAGCGAAAAATAGTAAATCTCCATTTCTATTTTAATATTATAACTGGGTCATTCTTGCGAGTTTTAATACAGTTAAAATAAAAGATCCATAAAAACGTATATTTGCCCAAATATGGTAAATTTTAACCTTTAACCCCTTATCTTTGACCTTTAACATAAGGTTATTTTCAGAGTTCTAGAAAATGATAACGATCATTGTTCGAAAACGATAAAAATAGAGTAATGCTTAAATTGAATAACAATCACTAAATAAATAAATAAATAAATAAATAAATAAAACAAACAAACAAAAATGTATAAATAACCGAACACTTGAAAACGAACACAAAAACACATGAAACATCAATGAACCGACCGACCGACCGACCGACAGACCGACCTACCGGCCGACCAATCAATCAATCAATCAACCAATCAAGACATTTACCTGTACCTTCGCAGAGTATGTCATAAGATCTATAACATTCTATACTTCTCATGTACATATTCGTGTGTATGCGAGCACAATCTTCACTGCCGGGATCGTTAGGTTCACCACCGTCCCAATAGCTCCATGTCAGTTCTTCCAATTGACCCGACTTTTCCCAGAAATGAGTATAATTCCCAAGACCTGTTACATCTATCCAGTATAGTCCAATCCAAACAGCAGTCGGGAGCGTGAAATTCTCACCTCTAGGTTGTAAAATATGTCATGAAAATGGTAAGAAATTTATTAAACATTTTCAAAGAAAATTAACGATAAGGGAATAATAAACGGAATTTTACTGAGATTTTTGGACCTGAAGGGACTGGAAATATTATTTTCGAGATAAGCTTCATTATTTTGTAGGTGTAAAACAATAACTTATGTTCACAATTTAAAATCATTTCCTCTCACTGATTTTCTA